CACTGTTGTCCCAAAATTCCAAATAGGTTCGGACCACCATCTCCTTCATGCAAAATTCTACTTCACAGAGCGGGGAGAAAGGGCTGCAAAGTTTAAGAAGAGAACTCCCAGAACGACCACCAACTGGGAGCTCTTTGGCAGTATTGCTGCAACCTGGGAAGAATGCCATTGTTGACAACATTGACGAGGAATACGATCAACTGGTTCAGCACCTCCATGATTGTGCGAGGAACGCCAAGAGAGAGCCACAAAAAACCGCCTGTCTTCGAAAACTCTTGAGCTTATTCACCAACGTGGTTTGGCGCATGCCTTAAGCAACCGCAAGCGAACGTCTGAGCTCGCAAAGCAGTGCAGAGATGCGATCAAGGAAGACCTCAAAGAGAGAAGAGCAGAAGTGCTGGTAGATGCGGCAGAAGCCGGGAAAAGCATTCGTAACGCCCGCCTCTCCTTCGCCAACTACAACACCAAGATGACTGCCTTCCGACATCCTGATGGATCACATCTTCCAGAAGGGCAATGGAGATTATCCATGACTTCTACTCAGATCTCTTCGATAGCCATGTCCACCTGCCCACATACCAAATTCCACAGGATGGATATGTCGTTCCCAATGTTCTCCCTTCTGAAATCTGACATGCCATTTCGTCAGTTAAGAAATGAATGGCACCCGGCCCAGACAAGGTCAGACCTGAACACCTGAAGAACCTGCCATCAGCACTCATCAATACGCTGGCTTGGATCTTCACACGCTACCTGTCTGAATGCAAGGTTCCATCCCAATGGAAAACCAGCAGGACTGTCCTACTGTACAAGAAGGGAGACATCCATGACATTGGCAACTTTCACCCAATCTGCCTATTGTCTGTCATCTACAAGCTGTTCACTCGAGTCATCCTGAATAGGATTGGCAGAACACTAAGATGAAGGACAACCATGCGAGCAAGCCGGGTTCTGCAAAGGATTCAGCATCATCGACCATATCCACATGATAACCAAGCTCATTGAGGTTTCTAGGGAGTTCAAGATGCCACTCTGTCTAATGTTCATTGATTTAAAGAAGGCCTTTGATTCTGTTGAGACTGAAGTGGTCATTGAAGCCCTAGCCAATCAGTGCATTCAAACTCAATACATTAGGATCCTCCGTGAGCTGTATTACAAATTCACTACCAGGATCTCACCATTCTACAAAGAAGTGATCATCAATGTCAAGAGAGGGGTTTGGCAGGGTGATACTATTTCACTGAAACTCTTCAGTGCCACCCTTGAGAATGTCATGCGACGACTGGAATGGGAAGGAATGGGAGTGAAAATAGATGGTCGACAACTACACCACCTCTGCTTTGCTGATGACATTGTTCTAATAATACCAAACATTAGTCAAGCAGCACAAATGCTGGCTGACTTCGACCGTGAGTGTGGAAAGGTTGGACTACAGCTGAATCTTACAATGTTTATGAGACAATGTTTATGAGAAACAGCCTCGTTCCTGACACTCCATTCGCTCTCAACGGAACGACCATCTCCGAATGCAACAGTTATGTGTACCTAGTCCGAGAAGTCGATATGATGAATGACCTGGCACCTGAGTTGCGCAGGAGGAAGAGAGCTGCTTGGAATGCCTTCAAGAGCATTGAAGAAATAGCTAAGAGGATGAAGAACCTCTGGCTCCAGGCACATCTCTTTGATTCCACTATTCTTCCTGCATTAACATACGCCTCAGAGACCTGGGCCCTATGCAAACAGGATGAGAAAGCTATTCGGGTCTTCCAAAGAGGAATCGAAAGAGCTATGCTTGGAGTATCATGTTTCACTCAAATGAGAGGAAGAATCTGGAGTTCCGATCTCCGTTGACGGTCAAGAATCAGGGATGCTGTCTCGTTTGCCAAGGCGTCAAAAATCAGATGGGCTGGACACGTAATGAGATTTGGAGAAGACCACTGGACTAGAGCCGTTACCGACTGGATTCCACGGGATATCCAAAGACCGCATGGCCGCCCACCTACCAGATGGTCAGACTTCTTCATCAAGATCCTGTATGATCAGTTTGAGGCTCTTTGTGTTCCTAGAATGAACAGACGCCATTGGGCTACAGTAGCACGTGACAGGAACAAATGGAGATGTTACTGGCGCCCGCTTGAGCAAATCGACGATTAACGGGAAGTCAAGTGATCAAGTCAAGTGATCAAGTGAATACTTTCAGTGGTAAAAGGTAAAGGTAAAGGCCCTCCCGTTGATCGTCGATTTGCTCGAGCGGGCCCAGTAACGTCTCCATTGGAGACTTTGTTGTTACTGTGTCTGGCATATCGAATACTCTCGGTAGCTTGCCGGGCTCTCCAAGAGGGGCGGAGGAATCGAACTCGGGTCGGCCATGTTGGCCGCGTGTAAGGCGAACGCCCTACCCGCTGTGCTATCGCTCCAGTGGTGCAAAGACAAATCAGCGAAGGGGATGACCTTTTCAACAAACGTGTTCCAGCAATTAGACATCCGGGTGTGAAAGAAGAAACCTACCACCTCCCCAGCTTTATATAAAAATTCAAACTGGGTCACAGGTTGATGTCAATGGTAAGACTTTTTAGAAAAAAAATATCTCAAGACAACCTTCAGGAGTAGAACTAGGAGAAGAATCCTGGGATTTGATATCAAACCTATATTATCTAAAGGAAATTTACCTTGGCAAATTACACCTCATCAAAATCATTTGATTGGCCTTAAGGGGAAGAAAATGACAACCTCTGAGAGGGAGAAAAGACCTGTAATCTCTACAAATATATGATAAAAGATTTGTATCTAGAATATTTTTTTAAATAAGGAATAAGTCAATTAGGAGACGGGCGAAAGATATGATTGGGCATTTTCACTGAAGAGACTCTAAAGGTTGCCAAAAGGCACGTGAGAAGTTGTACATCATCAGCTTTCAGAGAAAGCGGAATTAAGACCACACTGGGCAGCCACTACACAATAGCAGAAATAAGGAAACTAAAGAATATTGACTGCTAGAGAAACATACGGAGGTTGTTCACTCACACTGCTCCTGAGAATATAAAATGATACTGCCAGTCTGCTAAGGATTTGGCGTTTCTTTTAAAACTAAAAGGAAACTATTGCAATCCATCCATTAGTATTATAGAACTTTTTCTCAAGAAAAATATAGATTCACAGATCATTTTGCACATGAACGTCCATGATAGCTCATTCCCATAGCTGAACACCCTGCCCTTGTTCTCAGCAGGTGAGCAGTGCTTCATCTGTAGCATCAACACTGTCAGTAAAACGAAGACTGGATCCGTGCACCAATCTGGATGTGTCTCAAGAAAGTGATGTTGAGTGGGGAAAGGAAGCCAATCTCAATTACAGCATGATTTTGGTTAGAGAATATCATTGAAATAAGAAACTGTAGAGATAAAAAGTAAATCAGTGGCATCAGTGGTTGCCAAAGGCTGTAAAAAGGCGTGTGTCTTATAGTAATAGAACCATTCCACATCTTGATTTTGGTGGCTGTCTAAAAAGTCACACTGGTGACAAGTACACAGGGCTGCATGTGTGTTAAAACTCACGAGTGCATATGTAATATGAAATTCACGAATTCTGCAGATTATAAAAGTCTGGTGCTAATTTTGTTCTAGAGTAATGCAGGTCTGGTCACAGAGGGAGATCAGGTCAATGATACATGTTTCTGCAACTGCTTGTAGTCCATCCTGGAAGGAATTTTAAAATTGAGTTTTATGTAACAATAACAAAGGAACAATAAAATTTAAAAATTTAGCCTTAATTTTTTTAAATATACCATTGTGTGAGAATTAAAGAACCCCAAGTGCTCAGAAGTATGTAAAAGATCCCAACACTGAAGACAAAAAATAGCACAGGAAAACTGGAGAAGTTGTAGATAAATAGATGGATTTGCTGGGTTCTTAGATTAAATAAAATAATAAAGATAAGGGACTTAATAAAGATAAGAGTGGTCTCCAAATTAAGCTATGGCATCTAGGCAAGTCCACTGAAAATACAGTAAATTTTTCTTTCGATAAAACTAACAAGTTGATTCTGAAATGTACCAACTCTGATGTGGGAAAGACCTAGGAATAACCAAACACTCTTGAAGAACAAGATAGTAAGATACATTAAAATTTTTTTGGTTATAACAGCATGGTGTTGGTATAGTAGTAGACAAATAGAATAATGACTACAAAACAGATCAGATAGATGTGCATGTGTCTGCATGTGCTCATTTTTGAAAAATGTTTTGTAGTTTCTAAAAAATTTAATCACACATGTACCTTAGGTTGCATCAACTAAAGGTCTAGCCTGCATGTACATAGGTCTCACAAAACCATGACTATTAATGTAAAGACATAAATCAGAGTTTTTATAGCAGCAAAATTCATAATACCTAGTAAAATAGGCATTATCTACATATTAACTACACAGTGAAATGCAGACATGCACTGTATGTATTCATAACATGGATTATTGCATACTATATGCATGAACTAAGGCTATTACATGTGAAACAGTACAAATATTAGCTAAAGAATCAGAGTGGATTAAGGAAGCTGAGCATAAAAATCATCGCTGGCTGTTTATACACTCTAAACACTATGGATCGCCTCTGAGGTTGGAAATCAGCGTTGTGATGATCTCAGCAAGGATAAGGAGTAGGGACAGTGTGAGAAGCTATTAACCCTTTTTTGGGGAGAGTGAGCCGCAGTTGGTGGTGCTCAGGGATCACTCCTGACTGCTCGAGGAACCACATGCAGGAACTGGGGTCGCTGTCAGTAAGGTAAGGTAAACAGTAGTATCTCTCAGGCCCTGCTAATACTTGATCTGGGTGCCTCTTACATGGATGTAGCCCTTTTGTAAAAACACAATGAGAAAAGACTTATTATTTGCACACAGTACTGTAGAAGTGCTTTATTTTATTTATTAATTTACCTCAAAAGCATAAAGTGCCATATAAGATTGTATTGTCACAGACTCAAGAATATTTTCTCTCTTCCAGATGTTTAATGTGAAGACTCACCCAGGCCCAGTGCCCTTTTCATTGCATCCTTAAATTCCTTGTTTCGAAGACAATAGATCAATGGGTTTATTATTGGGGTGAGAACTGTATAAACGGCAGAAATGAGCTTGTTGGAACTCCGAGAATCAATGGCCTGGGGCCGCACGTACATGAAGATCATGGCCGTATAGAAGATGGTGACCACCGTGAGGTGGGAAGCGCAGGTGGAAAAGGCTTTCCAGCGACCCGACGCCGAGGGGATGCGCAGGACGGCCAGGGTGATGTATGCGTAGGACATAATGGTGGAAATAAGGGGAAACACCAGGATGATGAAAGCCAGGATGAAGTCCACAAGCTCTGCGGTGGAGAAGTCTGTGCAGGCCAGTTTGAGGATGGGGGATATGTCACAAAAAAAGTGGTTCAGGACATTGGAGCCACAGAACGTGGCACTGGAGATAAAGTACACCTTGATCATAGAGATGGAGAAGCCACTTGCGAAAGAGAAGAGCACCAGCTGTATGCAGAGCCCCGTGGTCATGATGACTTGGTAGCGCAGTGGGTGGCAGATGGCCACGTAGCGGTCGTAGGCCATGGAGGCCAGGAGCACGCACTCAGTGCACACCAGGGAGCTGAAGAAATAGAGCTGAGTCATGCAGCCCACGAAGGAGATGTGCTTGCGCTGCAGGAGAAAACCGTCCAGCATCTTGGGGATGATGTCAGACACGTACCAGATCTCCAGGAAAGACATGGAGCCCAAGAAGTAGTACATGGGCCTGTGGAGCGCAGTGCTGCTCCAGACGGTGAGGATGATGGCCAGGTTCTCCAGCAGGATGAAGAGGTAGGTGAGCAGGAAGAGGAGGAAGAGTGCGTACTGCAGCCGGGGGGCTGTGGGGAAGCCCAGCAGGATGAACGTGCTGACCCTGGTCACGTTCTCTCCCTTCATGCTGCTGGTGGCTGGGGCTGGAAGACACTGGTAAGAGTGACACTGGGAGGGGGGACCCCAGGATGGACTCCTGCTCTGGCCACTACTGCAGACAGTGGGGTCCAGTGGCCACTGAGCTGCCCCAGGTCAGGAGTCAGCTGGCTCTGAGGCAGATCAGAGCAGGAATGGGGCTCGAGTGTGGCTGTTGGGACAGAATACCAAAGGCGGGATGGCCCAGGTCACAAACCCAGCCACACTGGCTGCTGTCTGCACCACCTCACTCGCTTGCGGCACGATTGCTTTGGTTTGACCTTATATCAGGGCAGTATTGGCTACAGGTTGTACTGGACAGTGAAAGGTCTCCATGGTGACAGGGCCAGGGTCCTGCCACACTCTTCCATGAAGAGGCGAGCTCTAGGGGCAGTGCGAAAGATGCCCCGCCCTGACACATGGTCATGTTCTGACGTACCCACACACACATCCCCACTCACAGGTCCACACCCTCACATTTTCCTATGGAGAGAATTTCAGATCCATGCTGGTGCCTTAAGACTATTACTACAGTCGCACACATGCATGCACATACACACACAGACACACTCTCGTACCCCCACAACACACTCACACCTTTACATCCTCACACCCCCACACTCACACCCCCACGCCCCCACAGACATACACACCCTCACACCCCCACAGACACACCCTCACACACAATACACAGGCACACAGACACCCATATTCACACCCCCACACCCCACAGACACATGACATACAATACACACAGACACACTCAGACATCCACAGACACCCACACTCACACACAGACACATGGACAGAGACACATACATACACTTAGACATAGACACACTCAAACACCCCCCCCCCACACACACACACACTCACACAGACACACTCAAACCACCCCCCTCACACACACAGTCACACAGAGAGGCAGACACATACTCACACCCCTGAGAGCAGAGCACGGGGAGCCAGGGAGGGAGCGGGGAGGGCCCGCGCAGACGTGCAGCTGCCTGGAGAGGGAGCATAGCTCTTACTCCCTGGGGTGCCTCACCAAGGGGAGGGTGCTGCTCTTGAGTCTTGAGGCCATAGATATGAGTGGGCTGCAGGGTCCACACTGTGGGCATGAGGTGGGGGGAGGGAGAAGACGGCACATTTCCGCTGCTCTCCTGCAGTATTCTGGCTCTTGCTGTGTGTCACAGGGAGGTGACTCTGGGGTGGACATCACTGGGATCTGCCCTTTGGCAGGGAGTCAAGATCCAGGAGAGCATCGGGAGAGAGTGGCAGTGTAGGAGGCAGTGACAGAGGGGCAATCCTGGGTGGCTGCAGAGTCCAGCTGCGCATGCACCATGGGCATCACCACCTGGCATGCTGGAGAGTGAGAGGCTGCAATGGGCAGCCTGCTAGGGTACTGTCCCCGCTGAGCTCCGGGCAAAGGGTACTGGGAAAGGGCCATAGAGCCCAGAGCACAGGGTCCTCTGCTGGGCCTGGGGAGAGTTTCTCCTGCTCATGAGACGTTGCAGATGGCAGCATGGGCATGAGGACAAGGACAGATGGACCTTGACGCGGAGCCACAGCTCGCCCGGCCACTCACCTCCTCTGGTGGCTGCTCCTTGTCCACCACATGCCTCTCCATCCCTCAATCCCCAACCCCGCCCATGCCAGCCCACCCCTGGTGTCCACTGTCCCTAAGAGCTGTGGTCTGGGCCCCACAGCGTCATCAGCTCCCACAGTTCCATGTCCGTAGTGTGCCCGTCTGGGGGGGCTTCAGTCGTACTGCCCACCCTGTCCCTCAGCCTGTAGGGGAGGCGAGGCCCTCTGTGCACCCATCTCGGTGAGTGCGGGCTCCCATACAGCTACACCCACCCCCAGGTTTGGGTACAGCCCTGCAGATGGGGCCTGGACTGGCCCTTGCTGCCCTAGGGCATGTCCTGTGTGGATGGAGCTGGAGGGTCTGAGGAAACAGAAGCAGCGAACTCACACAGGTGCCTGCTCAGCTCCTGAAACAGCCATGAGTCCCCCAGAAGGCACTGCTGGGCTGAGAAGCCCCTTCCTTCTGGGGGTATCCCCTCCCCCAGCTCACTCCCTCAGCCTCCTGGGAGTTTCCCAGCCTGGGCCTGGGGCTCAGGGGCCCAGTGGGGCTCCTCAGAGCTGCCTCTAGTAGTAAGCCCTCCCTCCTGCAGTGTGACCACAGGATGGAGGCCAGGGAAGTGGGCAGGGTTTCCCTCTGCGGGAGAGCACAGAGCCTGAGGGTGTGTCCTAGATAGGACCCAGAGATGGGGAGCAAGAAAGGGTCACACACACCCAGTTACCAAGGTCTCCTTAGGAGGCACCGGGGCTGGGCTCTGTTGAAGTGTCCCCGGGTGTCAGCATGTGGGAGCCGGGGTTCCTGCTGCCTTCTGAGGGGCAGGAGGACTCGGAGCCCTTGTCCCTGCTGTGCTGCGTGGAGCCCCATTCCCCCTGGCAGCTGGGGCAAGAACCTGCTGCCATTCCCCACCCTGGATGCCAGCCAGGGCCGTGCCTGCATCACTCTGATGGGGGACACTGGTACCCCTGCCCCACGGGGAGATGCTCTGGGCCCCATAAACCCCTTGGAAGGGCAGCCTTGTCTTGTGCCAGGCTGTGGGACCCCATGGACGTGTCCCCCAGCTTGGGGCTGGCTCTGTGGAGCAGAGTGGAAGTGGCTGGTCCCAGTGGTGTTGACTCAGTGAGACAGGCTGATTGCTTCCAGTATTTTCCAGCCCCTCTGTCCCCCCCACTCCACCCCGGAGCTCAGCAGCGTTGCACTAAAGAACTTGTTTTGTGAGTATGGGTTTGGGACGGAGGGGCCGTCCAGTCCTGCGGAAGGAAGGGGCGGCTCCAACCCCCAAGTTTTCGCTTCCTGGGTGCTGCCCGCCTCCCTGCAGGACCCTTCACCTGGGTGCAGGACACCCCACTGCGCTGCCCCAAGCCCGGGCTGCTGCCCGGCAGGGCCGTTTCTCTCAGGGGTGCCCAGGGGGCCACCCACACAGTTCCTCAGGGCTGTCAGGAACCCGAGAAAGACCCTCAGCCTGTGTGTCGGGTTCTGTGAGGGGCACGGGCAGCTGCTTTAGCTCCATGTACTCAGTCCTGAGAGAGTTTGGGGCCGTGTCCTCCATCTGCCCTGTCCGCCTAGGGCACAGCGCAGTACCCACACACAGAGGGAGCCTTGTGGGGTGCTGACCTCTAACCCTTAACTGTAGGCACACGGAGGCTGTATGTCAACTCAGCACAATACCCACAGGCAGAACTCAGTCACAGCACTCATAGGTGGAACTCAGCATTGCACCCACAGTAGGAACTAAGCATAGCGCCCATGGGAGGAACTGAGAGTCTCCCACAAAGCAAGTTTGGGGCTCGATTCCTGGACAGCCTCACACATCTTACACCCCATGAGAGAGAGGCACCGTCCTGCTCTGAATACAGGGAAATCCTTCGGGTCAGCGGGAAAGCGCAGACCTACCTGGGCGTCCAGGAACTTCCCTGCAAACTGCTTGTGCGGAGCAGGGAGCGGCCTCTCCCAGCCGGCACTGGGCACACTGACACCCAGCAGCTGAGGGGCAGTGGGGCGGTTTTTACCACCAGAGCGCAGGGACCCCAGGGCCCAATTACACCGGGTGCTGCTGCAGCCGCCACACTGCCAATTAGTGGGGCCCTGAGGGTCTGTGGGGCCATGTCTCGACCCGGCAGTGTCCTGCTCCCTGTGTGACGCTGGTCAGGCCTGGGCAGAGAGCCAGGCCAGCTGACGAGAACCGCGAGGTGGAGGCCTCAGGAAGCAGGCGGAAGGTGTGGAGGCTGGGCCCCGTAGCCCAGCCAGCACGTGGGGGTCTCAGTCACTCCAGGCTGTCTGGGACGGTCCAAGTTTCTTCCCATGGCAGAGTGTCCTGACGCTGCTCTGATGAAGGACCCTGGCCCAGGACTCAGGTGCTCAGGCGCAAATGTCACCTGGACAGGTGGCCCGCATCAGGAAGCAAGTCAGGCACCGTGCCCCCTCTGGAGGCTTCTTTCTGCCTCTTCCAAGTGCTGTGCTCCTGACTTCCTTGATTGAATGCCAGATCCCTCCAGGCTCTGCCTTTGAGGCCACACGGCCACCAGTCTCTCAGGGTCTCCGACCAGGCCACTGCATCATGCTTAGGGCTTCAGGGGACCAGGGTGGCTTCTTTATGGAATGCCATGAAACACTGTCTGGACTTCATGGATCCTTAGACTGTGCTCTGCCCATGGGTGAAGGGGCGGCCTGGGAGGCGGTGTGTGAGCTGTCCTCTCTTCACCTCCATCGTTTCTGGGGCATAGTAGGCACTGGGGCAGATGAATGGATGGATGAAGCGATGAATGGATAAGTGATGAGCAGATGAATGAGGGGGTGGGTGCATGAAGAATGAGTGAAGTGGATGAATGAGTAAGTGAGCAGGTGAATGAGGGTGTGGGTGAGTGAGTGAATGGCAGTACAGTGGATGAAAGATGAATGAACGATGAGTGAATGAAGGGATGAGTGAATGAAGGGTGAGTGAATAAATAGATGAGTGGAATGAATGAAAGGATAAGTGAATGAAGGGTCAGTGAATGAAGGGTGAGCGAGTGAAGCATGAGTGAATGAAGGGTGAGTGAATGAAGGGTGAATGAGTGAAGGATGAGTGAATGAAGGGTGAATAAAGGAGGAGCGAATGAAGGATGAGTGAGTGAAGCATGAGTGAATGAAGGGTAAGTGAATGATGAGTGAATGAAGGATGAGTGAGTGAAGGATGAGGGGATGAAGGGTGAGTCAATGAAGGGTGAGTGAGTGAAGGATGTGTGAGTTAAGGGTGAGAGAATGAAGGTTGAATGAATGAAGGATGAGTGAATTAAGGGTGAATGAGTGAAGGATGAATGAATAAAGGGTGAGTGAATGAAGGGTAAGTGAATTAGGGGTGAATGAGTTAAGGGTGAGTGAATGAAGGGTGAGTGAGTAAAGGGTTAGTGAGTGAAGGGTGAGTGAAGGG